ATCCGCCAGACATCCGAAATTCCTGCTTTTTTATATATATATAATTTAAGATATATATATGCACATACATAAAAAATGGACTGTGCTTTGCAACATGTTTATTTTTGCAATATATATCTATTTTGCGAGATACATATTGCAAAGCATAGTATGTTTTTTGATTTTATATATGTATAAAAATAAATTGGAAAGCACAATCCACGCAGCCAAGGTTGGAGGGAAAAACCTTCCACCCCTTGCTAGGCTCAAACAGCAAAAGATGCATCGTCAGCTCTTTTAAACACATCACTAAGTGCCGTGGTCCTTCCCTCTTCCCAACTCCCCCCCGGGGCTCCCACCGATGCCTTCACTGTAGAAACCAGGAATGGGATTCAGGGCAAATCGTTCCCTCCATGCTCTTCCCAGCAAGTTTTCAGAGGCTTTTCTGGGAAAGAAGCGGGTGTTTTCAGTGAAGCGATGGGGATGACGGCATCTCCTGCTCTCCTCCATTTCCTTGGGAAACCACTTCATGGGCAATTTCTTGCGTTCTATCAGGTTTTCCTTAGCCCCTGCTGCTGGGAAGGCTGGGGCCAGCCCCAGGCACCCATCCCACACGCTGCCTTACACCTGTCATTACCCTCATTTCCATACGGGATTTTCCCACCCCGCTCGGACATCCCACCAACACATTCATCCTCCCTAAAGCAGTCGTGTCCCGCTCCCCGCCAGCTCTGAGCATCCCCTCCTGCAAGTTTCCCTCCCATCTCAACCAGCACCTCCAGCTCCAGAGGGTCCTACAGAGAAATCCCGTGTTATTTGCATAAATTGCATTAAGAGAACGACTCGGCTCGAGAGAGAAATTTTCCCTTCGGTTTAAAAGAGGGGGAGAAAAAAATTCCCCGCTGCCGTGCCAAATTTAATCACCTAAATAAACGACCCGAGAAGCGCCGTTCGCAGGCAGCTCTCTGCGATCGTTACAGAAAAGTTCCAATAACCAGGAAAATAGGGCCAATTATTCAGAAACCTCATTTCAGCCTCTTTTCCTTCCGGGCGCAGGCGGCTCGCCGGGGTCTGCGCCTCTGTCCGAAGCCATGAATTTGCTGGACGTGGCTCGAAGCGAGCACTGGCCCCCTTGAACGGGGACGGGGGCTCTGCACACATCTGACACATGATGCAAAAAACCACAATTTGGAGGAAAGAATAATTTTCTAATATTTTTTTTACAGTTCTACCTTGCAAGCGTTGCTATATCGGTGCATAAAGTTGAATTTGCTACTAGGAATCGCCTCCAAAATGCAACAACCCTGACACAAAAAGCAGCCACAGCACGTTTTCCCCAGTGTTTTTACCCCTTTTTTATTTTTTCCTCCTCTTTTAAAGCATTTTTTTGAGGGGGGGGAAGGTGTTGTCTGGGCACTGGAATTCCTGCATCACCCCGCACGGACAAGCCCCATCACACGCCAGCTCGATTCCAAATGTGCCACAAATGGGCAGCGATGAAATTAATGCAATTTAAACATCTCCCCCACTAATTGACAAAAAATATCATTCACACTGAAATAATTGACTGATAATTATATTTCAGCTGATAGCATTAAACTTCCATGACATGGAGATCCTGCATCCTTTATGCTTTCAGCACTGATTAGCCTTAACAGACAACATAAATAATATTTTTTTT